CCGTGTCGCCACGGGGTCCCCGCGGTCTCACCATGCCACCCAGGAGCAGTGGGCTGCTCGCTGCCGTGCGGGGGTTTCCATCCGTGGCACCGGGTAATTTGTGTGTGAGCAGAGAACAAACCTTTTACCCCCAACCGTAACACACCGTGATGTGTGATCGACATTAACAAACACAATCCCACATTGCATTTAATTTAATTCCACTCTTCCTGCCCCGAGCTACAGCTCCCTTCATTTTCATTTTTCCTCTGAATTCCCACAACTCAGACCTCTTTGATTTCCAGGTTTAATTAACAATGCTCATTAAATGAATTTTTATTCATTTCTTTTAATATTACCCTGCCACCTGTCTTTAGGAGGCAAGGGCTGATCATTTATTCTAATTTATTTCTATTAAAGATGGCATTTAAGGGAGGGAGGAGGGATGTGCAGAGGTATAAAGGGCTGATCTATTCAAATCTCTTCATCCCCCTCAAATGCTGTTCAAGGACGCTGCTCCTGAAAGTTCTGTATTTATTTTCCACCAGATCCGTTTCATTTGCTAGGAAAAATTGGATTGGACATGCTGTATTTTGCAGTTATGTTCCAGTCCATTCTTAACATCTCTTCCTGTCTAGTCCGTACAATGTCGAGGCTTTATTCATCTGAAAGAGGTGAAACTGTGCAAAATCCAGGCAGGAAGGGCCGCGAGCCGGCCCGTGTGTGGGACCATGGGGTGAGCGGCAGGATGCTCCCCAGAGGCAGCGTGGGGAGAAGTCGTGTTTCCACCCTAAAATGAGGCAGAGCAGAGGAAACCTGCAATGCTAACGACAGACAAAGGGGAGGAAAAACAAAAGGCAAAGCTGCCCCACCGACTCCTAATGTGCAGGAGAAACTGGGCTGGGGGCAATGTGGTGGGCTGGGGCAGGGGGGCTGCCAAGGGTGTCACCTGCCCAGCCCAGCGGTGCCCAGGAAGGAGACAAGGGACCTTGCCGCAGATAAAAGTGAGTATCTGTGACTGCAGCTGGGGGCTGTGTGTGTCCATGCCAAAGGCAAACTCTGACTGTTCCTCTCCTCCAGGCTGCAGGCAGCCCCCAGCACCCCCCTGCCCCGCCACCCTCTCCATCAGCAGGACAAGCAGCACCTTCCCAGCCCTCGGGTCTTGAACCTCCTTTGACCATGTGCACGTTTAGCTGTGCCCACACTCTGCCAAACATCCCTCACACTTGCCACCAGAACGACATGATTGTACTGAGATCTTGGACATGAGAGCTGCCCCATCACCTCCCAGCCATGGGGAGCGTTGGCTGCCCATCCGGGCCATGTCTCCACCCCAGGGACCACTTGTTGAGTTTGCACCCAAGCCAGAAATCTCTGAAAAACTAGTTTTGTAACAAAGGTCCCAGTGCTCGTTCCCTAGTGGATCAATATATATGTCAGCTCTTCCAGGAGTACACAAGGAGCTTGAGGCAGCAATGTCTGCTTTTGGGGGTCAGCAGAGAGAATTGCTGCTGAGTGGGGTGTTAGAGGCATGGAAAAAAAAGTAAGTGAGCGCAGGTGTCTACTGACACCTCAGAGAAACGTGGGCTGCTCCTGTCGTTTCACATATTTCCTCCTGAGAGTGCAGGTGGGGAAGGCAGCTCCTTGTTACGGGGCTGGAGACCTAGCTACGGCTTTGGGGAGAAGGTCAGGCACCCCATCAAGGAGTGGGCAGGGAATGGGGCATCCCCCCTTACTGCTCAGTCCTCCCACCCTCACACCCCTGCTACATCTCGTGGAGTTTTGGATCCTGCAGCGCAGCAGCCAAATAACAACCTTAGGAAATATTTAATTTTATTGCCGGTGATTTTGGGGTGATATGGATAAATGCTGTAAGATAATGTATGCCGTGGTGGTGTTTGCAACGGCATTATGACATTTCAGCTGTCAAAGCAAAACAGAAAGTGCATCTGCTCCTCTGGGGCCTTATCCGTCTTGGCCAAGCCACAGTGAACGATTGTCTTGCTCCTGGAGAGCTCGCCCTGGTGTTGAAAATCAGCCCACAGCCTGCGAAGCCCTGGCCAGGCTGCTGGGGCACCATCGCCCTTGCACTGGGCTGAGCCGCACCGGGCACGCCAGGGCCTGCAGACTGGCACAGGCAGAGCCAACGGAGATGCCCACGTGGCAGGGAGGCCTCCACCAGCTCCTCAGCTCTACCCTCCCGAATGTGCTGTGCTCCCCCTTGCCAGGGGATCTCGGGAAGGGAAACCAGCCTTTTAGGGGTGCTCTGCCCCAGAATGTGTTTGGAAAGTGGTGTCCTGGGACAAGAGAGCAGTGATACTGCTCCAGGAGCCCCGGCATCAACACAACACATTTCCTCTGGCATTCAGTCTGGTGATATCCTAGAGCAAGGCTGGTGTCTCACTCCATTCTCTGCCAGCTCCCGGGCAGCCAAGAGGAGTGTGGTCCATGTTATGTGAAGAAACGAGTCTACGATGAGCCATTGTTCTTCCTGCACCTGATGAAGGTTCCCATCAGCGTGTGAGAATGAGGGACAGCTACCCCTGTCCAGACATCCGCTGGTGGCGAAACCCCACTGCCCTAGGATGTGGTGAAGGACAAACTGGAGGACTCCCAGTTTGCTCCCAGGCACCTGCCTGGGAATTAAAGACCAGCAGCCAAAGGCTTCTGGGTCTAAGACCGCTCTGGTCTTGGACAGGGTCCTGCTGGCCCAGCCTGGATCTCTGCTCAGGTGTTGTGGAAGTTCCTACTACTGCCCGTGGGGATGAACAACAGCCAAGTCAACCCAGCTCACCACAGCGTGGTGCTGGGGCAGAGAGGAGAGCACCCTCCTGCTATCTCTCATTAGCACTAAAGCCTTTCACTCCTGGGAAGCCCATGCCCTTTGATCAGTCAGAACAGCACACGGGACTGTGAGTAGTTGGAGGGAAAGCGTTTGAGGGTTTGGATGTTTTTTCTGACGATGCGAAGTGTGTTTCTGACTCTCCCAAGGCGCTGATGTTTCCCCGCGGTGCAGGATGAGGTGTTATTGGCAGCACGGGGAGCCTCTCCCAGCCCACGCTCGGGCAGAGCTCTGCTCTTTTGCGAGGCCAGGAGGCTCATTTGCTTGTTTGGCTTCCACCACTTTCTTCTGGTAGCGCCTACCTTTGTTCTAACTTGCATTAACTTTTCAGAGCTGAGCTGGAAAGATCAGAAAGATACTTTTTCTGAGCAAGAGCAGACGCCTCCTCTCCGGTTGCGTAAGGCGTGCGCTTTCATGAAGCAGTGAGCTAAGAATATGGTATAAAGGAGGAATACACCCAGACTCAGCCCGCCTTTTGAGACAGCTCCTCCCTTGATTTTTCTCTCCATCAGGCGATTCCACAGCCCCCCCCAACAGGAGTTTTGAAGGCGGCCGGGATCAGCGACTTGCTCGGGAGGAAAGCCGGTCCGGCGAGGCTGCGGCTCCCAAAGAGCTCCTCGACTGACACCTGGTGGAAAAGCCTTCCTGGCCCCAGCACAGCCCGACCAGGGAGCTCTGCTTCAGTTGGAGCATCCTCCATCAGCCAGGCTCCGAAATAAATACCACCCTGTCCCGGCTGCTCCTCCTGGGCGTTTTTACAGCCGGGCTCACAGGGTACCCGGGAGCTGGAAGCTCAAATGATACAAGTGATTCACTCCCCTCGTACACGCAGCCTTTCTTTTCCATAAAACAAACTACTCCTCAGTCTGCAAGGAGTTGGTGAGGTGTAATTCACTCAGGTCTTTGCAGGTTGAGCCCTTTGACTCGCAAGAGCGGAAAAACTGCCCCGTACACCCCATCCCTGCAGCGAGAGGGAGCCCGAGCGAATACAAACCCCCAGGGCCATGCCTTTATAGAGCAAAACACGCAACAGCAAGCGGTTCTGTGAGGATTTTCAAGGCAGGGATTTGGGATGATGGTACCAGTTGTGGATACGGGCAACAGGTCATCCCACAGCAGGGCAAAAGGGCCCATGTGCATCGTCACACCAGAAGGGGACAGGTCTGTGACAAGTCAGAGATTATTCTTGCTGCCATCAGCAAATTTTAAAGCTTTTTCTGTTCCTGCCTTTTTCAGGTTTGTATGTGTAGTCCCAAGTTACTTTCTAATACGTGCAGGTCTCTGACATAAAGTAAGGTGACATCCTGAAGTGTTTACTGTGACAAAATCAGGAGAGCGTGGTACAGGGAGAAGACAAGGCCCTGGGCAGAAACAAATCCCAACACCGCAGAAGTTTGAAAAACAAAGCAACAGAAAATACCTTTAATAATAACCCAGGTTGTCATTAAAAAGAAATACTGACAAAAGGTCAAGCAGGTGCATGTTGAAATGTTCTGAGGCAGCAACAGCTCTGCCCATCAGGTTGTAGACAGCATGAGTCCAGCTGAGTTCTGCTGCGTCTCACACAGTTTGGCCATTTAGACATTTTTTGTCCCCATCTGGCACCAGAGTGCGCATGGGAAACGTTGAACAGGTCTTCTGCAGGTGTTTGGCTTTGTTCCCCACACCACGGTGCTGCTGGCTCTTCACTGCTCGGACAGACACTGCTCCAAAGCTGCCATACCATAGAGGTTGGCCCACTCCCCGCCGTGGTGCGACAGGATCACGTCCCTGCACGACTTGCTGGCTCGGGCCAGCTCCACCAACACGCCCTGGAAAGCGGTGACGAGTTCATAATCCACCGAGGCCGGAGTGACGCGGGTCAGGAACTCCGAGATTCCCTCCAGCCACCGTGCCTCGAGGATGGCCGGCGGCAGCCAGGGGAGGAGTGGCACACAGCCCGCCAGGGCCTGCATCCCCAGGAACCAGAGCTCCCCAACATCGGCCCAGGTGTCTGCGTAGGCGGGTGACACGGCCGCGGGCCCGCCGCCGCGACCCGCGCCCCAGCCGCTGCTACCAGGGTCTGCTTGGGCGGTGTGGCCCCGCGAGAGGAAGCCAACAGCGGCTCCGAAAAACTCCTTGGCGGACGGTGAACTCTGAAGAACTGGAAGGAAAAGGAAAGGAGTGACTCAATAAAACGCTCGCTCGGCCAAAGGAGTGACCCTTCGCTGGGCCTGGCTGCAGCAGAGCCCTCAGGGAGAGCAGAGTGCCACCCTCCTGCCCCAGACATCTCTTCATCCCAGTGCGTCAGCCTCCTGAACCTTCTCCATACTCTTTGCTCCTCCAGGTTTTCGGTTTTGTCACTTTTCCAATGATAGAAACCGGACCTGTTTGCCTGGTATTTGCTTTCTCCAGCCCAACCACCCACACCCTGGTCTCTGCCCCGGCAGCTCTGCCAACAGGAACTCTTCTTACCGTCGGAACCTGCAAGGATCCTGGCCATCATCAGGCCCAGGGTGGCAACGTTGGCTACTAGAACCAGGCGATCTTTTTGGGGCAGCAGAAGTGGAAGAGACTTCAGCAACATGTCCATCAAGGAGGAAAAGGATTTGTCTCGCCTAGGAAGAAAACAAACCCTGCGACATTTCCTGAGCAGAGCTAGAAGCACCCGAAAATGTCACAGCACCAAAACACTAACGCAATCGGGGTTGAAAACGGGACATCCCTTTTTCAGCACGATGTCTTAAAAGATCTCGCAAGCTCATTTCACAAGGCATCCTCTTTATTCCCACTGACAATCTCAAAGCGAGCTCCTGCGGCTCCGTTACCTGATGACGTCTGGTGCAGTCACGACCAGGTTAAGGAAAATCCCACACATCGTCTGTAAACTCATTTCAGGGCTTGTCGGTGAGGTCAGGGACCCCGTCTCGGAGGTCAGCACCTCCCACTGATGCAAGAAGTACTCACACAGCAACGCTGGTGCCCCTTCTGCGACCAGGATGTCTCGGGGTCTGTCCTCTGCTGTTAAATGGCAAAAGCCAGGAAGCAGAAATCTGGAAGGGGAAAGAAATTAGGAAGATGAGGTAGAACGGGCCGAAGCCCTGCAGGTACACCCAGCTGGAGGGGGAAGAGCGAGCCACGGAACTGTGGCTGCAAGGGGAATAGAAAACAGAAAAAAACTTGAGCACGTTTGTGCTAAAATGGATCAACTCCGTGCTTAAAATAGGCACCTCAGAGCATCCTGGGGTAAAGCAAAGCCCTCGGTGCTGGCCAGCTCTTGCTGGGGAAGACTCTCAGCTGGGCTGCCCTCTTTGAAAAGCTTCTTGGCGTATTGAACAAGGAAAGGCAAAACCTCACAGATTTCCTGTTTGAGGGAGGATGTCTCTTCCGCCATCCAGGCTCCAAGGATTCGAACGCAAGCAAATACAAAAGGATCTTGTAGCTCCTCCTCCCTAACCTGGGCGAAGAAGAAAGCAGTCAGAAAACTAAATGTTAGCGCCACTGTCCTGTCGAGCTACCGCAGGTATAAAAACCACAGGGGCCAAGGTGCACATTTTGCTCTGCAGAGCTGTGGCCATGAGCTGCTGAGCACCCGTTAAGCATCCCAGCAATGAGAGCCTCCCAGAGAAACCCACAAAAGCATGTTCTTTGCTTGAAAGTCCTGCATTACCTGTCTCAAATAGAATATCACAGCTCCAAATGCCTCCTCCATGATCCTCAAGAGCTGCATTTTCTGCCCCTCTTCTAGCAGTGGTTTCTCCTCTCTCAGGCACTCCTGAATCCCCATCTCAATAAGGACATAGCAGGCTGTTACCAGTTCTTTTTTCCCCTCTGCCTCCAAGGGATCTGGCTCCTCCAAGGTCAGGCGGACCTCCACACAAGCCAAGTTCACCAGCAAGGCCAGGAACTTGCTTCCAGCACTCTCTGCTGGGATCCACTCGGACCCACAGGCCTGCACGAGGCAGGCAGCGAGCTTCAGAGCAGGGTCCCGCTGCGACTGGTTGAGTTTACTGCCCAAGATGTTAGCCAGCCCTTTGTAAATTCTGTGGAGGCACTCGGAGCCCTGCGAGCCCTGTGCGAGCGGCGGGGATGGCGGGATGAAGCGAGGCAGAACCTCGCACAGCTCAAACTTGGTCATGTCTTCAGCCTTGAGAAAATCATCGGAGAGCTTGCTCAGCACGGCCAGGAGGTGCGGAGCGTCTCTCTGCCAGCACTTTGCCTCTGCCACAGCCAACAGCCCCAGGAGCAATGTCAGGGCACGGTCAGAGCCATAACCGGAATTCAGGTAGGCCTGGCACAGGGCAGGGACCGTCCCTTTGGTCCCCAACTGTCCAGGGCCCCTGGCAGTGGCCAGGACAGCGCTCAGGCACTGGTACGCATCGTCGATCATGGACGTGCCGTCGGGATCACAGGGGGACACCAGGACGTCGTTGAAGGTCGGGATTTTGTTCAGGATCTGGGAGTGAG